GTTGGAAGAAACAAAAAATCTTGAGGTAATTATTTTTACAATTAATTTTTATAGAGAGATAGTATTAATAATTTTATAATTTTATTGCTTATGTTTTAGCCACCAGAATTACATCTGAATGTTGAAGTGATCGAAGCCAAAGAACTAGTTTCCAAACGGTAAAAGAATTATTTTTACAATTAATTTTTATAGAGAGATAGTATTATATATTTAATAATTTTATTGCTTATGTTTTAGCCACCAGAATTACATCTGAATGTTGAAGTGATCGAAGCCAAAGAACTAGTTTCCAAAGATTCTAACGGTAAAAGTGATCCTTTCTGTGCCCTTTATCTCGAATCAGCCCCAACCAGAAGATACAATACTGCCGTGAAAACTTGTACACTCAGTCCAATTTGGGAAGAACATTTTGAATTGTGAGTAAAATATTCATTTTTCTACTTTTGTGAAATAATCAAGATATTTTAAATTTATTATCATATTTTCAAATTTTTGGCAGAATTCATTAATCTTTTTAAAATATCTAAAAAAGAGTATACAAGCGTATGCGAAATATTTTAAAAACAATAATAAAAATTTATATGCTATAAAAATTTTATTAGTATATCAAATGTCCTCTAAAGTTAATAAATTATATATTATATTCTAAAAATAGTCAAAATCTAAATTTTGCCTTGTATTTAAAAAAAATTTACATCAGATTATTGAGTTATATATTTTAATTATTTATTATTTAGACGATTGGAAGATTCTGGAAACGACATCTTGTGCCTTGAAGTATGGTAAGTTATACTGTATACTGCTTGTATAAAATATATTATTATTAATTATTATAATTCCAATATTCCAATACAATGCATTCCAGGGATTTTGATGCTGCCGAAACCGTGCCTGAAAAAATGAGCAAAGTTAAAGATGTTAAAGGTGTTCGTGGCTTAGTTAAGCTAGCCAAGGAAATTGCAGTAACGGCTACTACTGGTAGTCATGATAATGAATTCATTGGTCGATGTCGAATACCATTAAAGGTAATCTAAAATTTAATTAGTATATATATATATATGTATATAGTATATGTTTCTGTAAACTTATTACTTATATATAATTTATATATATATAATATTTAATTGAAATATACATATGATGAACCACTTTTCTTCTTTTACTAGAAATATATTTGTTAATGAAACACTTATAGTATTGCATTTTAATATTATATATGTTATATAACATTAAAATGCAATGTATGATATTCTTGTATTTTTAATATTAATTATACGTTCTATTTATATATACATTTTTCTAGGATATACCAACAACGGGACATACTATGTGGTACGGTTTAGAAAAAAGGAACAAATCGAAACGTCGGGGCGTTGTGAAGCTCCGATTGTCCTTTAGCGCGGAACATAATGCACAAGTGGCCGCACAAGAACATCGACACCTGTTAAGAGTGTTGCTACTTCATGAGATTGAGACGGAAAAAATCGAGAAATACTGTTGGTGTGGTCGTTGGTCGGGACCAGCCGAAGCCCTCATTCTTCAGCACAGCGCTCAACGTGGTTTACTAGCTAGAAATCTCGCTTTGGCACAATGGGTCGAATATGCAAGGATTCATCAAGAGCATCCATTAAGTTTCACAATTTTTAATAAGCTCGCAATTGATTTGCTCAGACCAATGGACAACGGCTTGTTCTCTGCTGACGAAAATAGATTATTCTGGGATGCCACCAAGAAAATTTTGTATTCATGCTTAAATAGTATACGAAAAATTCGAAGACTAATTTTGGGAGATAAAAATGTCATGGTGCAATTATCCGCTATTTTAGGGTAATTATTTAACACTCCTATCATTTTATTAACTCTATTATATTACATATTTGATTTATGCTTTTCTATATTAAATAATATTAAATGGTAACTTGTGTGATTACCAGTAATAATTTAATATAGAAAAATTCTTCAAGAGGTAAATAAAATATATCTTTACGTAAATTTCAATTATTTTATGTAGGATATTATCATCCATATCTTCTCTGAAAATTCCTGAAGACATTGATCTCTTTCCGGTCAAAATGTACTCTTGGTTTTCTCAACCTGACGATGACAAAATGGATGTACTTCAAGCCTTGGAAGATACTATTATACAAAGCTGTGCAGAGTGGTAAGTGTATAGAATAAAACTTATAAATTTAAAATATTTGACAATTTTACTCAAGGCATATTTTGACATGTTCAAGGTTTGAACACATAGTAAGCAATAATTCTCCTGAAACAGAATCGGACGAAGATGCACTTAGAAATCAAATTAAAATAATTCAACTAATTAGATCAGACTTACAGAAAGCTATTGAGAATTATGACAAATTATTTATAAAGTAAGTTATTTTAAAGAAAATGCACAGAGTAAAACATACTCAATAAAATGCAAACAATATAATAGATCAATTACAAATTTTTTAGAAAAGTAAATGTTCCGTACGCAAGAATACTGTATATTGCGTATGAGAAGAGAATCAGTGATATGTGCATGATTATTATAGAGGATGTGTGTGCCAGATTAAAGCGAATTGAAGTTGATAGCACCGACAACGCGGAATTAAGCTTAGGCACAACGCTGTTTGAGCTTTATCTTACGCTTCAAAGATATGCTATGTGAGTTTTTATAATTATGCAAAATTTTTATTTGTGATATTGATAATTTAAATCAATTCGCTCATTTGATCATCGATATATTAATTACAGACTTGGTCAGGTACTTTGTGCCGAAGGACAGCTGGAGGAAATGAAGATACAAAAGTATTATGAGTGGTTTCGAGGTGGTGTCGCGCATTGGTTAGACATCGCAGTATACAAAGCACTTAGACGCATTGATAGAGCAGTCGAGATCGACACCTTGCAGGCGGTCGACAACAGCGTTCAGTATAGTTCGAGCGCCGTAGATACATTAACAACTTTTTATCAGATTAAAGTCTTTTGGACGCAGCTTGCGTGGCCAGACGTTGAAGGTTCCTACACGTTCATAGCAAAGATTATTGACGTAAGTTTAAAAATTTTTCTATCTAAGAAATTTAATATAATTAATATAATATATATACTTTATTAATAAAAAAATCA